ACGATTCCTAGCAGAAATGTGATCTTATTCTCTCTTCTCAGTTAAAAATCTTGTTAGTAAACAAGTTTTTAATTTCAAGTTTATAACTTAAAATATTTTAAATACAAAAGACAACTATATGTTTGTAAGTAGATACTTGGATAGTGAAATAAATCGGTAAGTCTGGGTAAGTTACTGGAAACTTCTGAAACCAAAAATATATTTTCGTTTATACATATTTAATTTTTAGGAGAGTGACGTTCATTCCCAAGAAAACAACCAGGAAAAGTTGACCCTGTGCCGCCGAGTGATGAAAATCCTACAACAACGAAACGGCGCCGTAAAAATCCGCCTGAGCGACAACAAGCTGGAAGTTTCGTTAAAAGAAAGTCTCACTAACCTGAACCAAGCATTATGTCGGAATAATCCCCAGGCAAAAAAGATTATTGGGGTCGTTATGGAAAAATGTTAGCAGCAGATAAGACAGAATCATCTATCATCACCGATATTTGCATTTGCAATCTGCAATCAACAAAATACGAGTAGGCCCGGGTCTTTTTTTACTTCCTATTCTGATCCTATATACGTTACATGGGACATATTACTTAACAACACAACTAACAGTTGCAATATTCCACCGCTTATACAGCTACCTGAGCAATCCAATACAAACACAACTAGAATCAGAATTTTGTCCAATGAAATTGTTTCGCGCCTTCTTTTCTTACCCAAACTGAATCCTTTTCCCAATCTGAATAGGAGTACAATTTTATTGCCGATGCATATGTGAACGCTTGATTTTTATTGTAGTGCTTAGAAATATTATTAATATTAAGCTATGTTTGATTCAAGTAAGTACATTAATAAAAAAATATAATCTTATTGAATGCGTTTTTACTTACCTCGATTTTATTTCTTAATATATGAACCAGGGCTTGCATATTCAGGTACAGTTTCTGATATAAGCTGTGGTGAAATTTTAAATAAGAAGTGCAGTCTCTCATAGCTGTCTCCTGAAGCCAGAAACCGTAATGTTATGGCTAAACGAATTCTTGCTGCTATTGCTGGTCTAAATTTGGTATCTATTTTGGGAAAAATTGAAGAAACTTTCTGAAGCAAATATTCAAAGTAAAAATATAAAACTAATGACGAGTTATTTTTTTTAAATTCGACACTGGGTTCAGAATGCAATTCTGATAACCGCTACTCCATATAAAGTCTGAAATGAATTTTTTATAATTAATAAAGACGGTTCTAATGTACTAAGTCTAAAGAGATTTAAATATATATATATATATATATATATATATATATATATATATATATATATATATATATCTTTGACTAAGTTCAAAGAGATTTAAATATTAAAAGTTTTTGACTAAGTCAATTCAAAAATTCACTACACCACCAAAAATACCTTGATCTGTTACGATGTATTTAAGTCATCCACATCGTCTTTTTTTCCAACGCTTTGTAATAACTTACTTGTTTTGGACTTAATAGTGATATGTTGCCACAGCAAACAAAGTTATTGCAACAGCAGCTTCTACGTCCATTTCGCGACGGCCTTCACGAACAATTTGTAAGTATGCCATGAATGTTGAGGGCACGACTTGTGCCGTGAATTCATGGCATGAATTCGCGCTTGAATTCACGACACTAATGTGAAGCCATGAAGATACGGTGAGGAACAGCAATTTTTAAAAAATTGTTTCGAAAATTTGTAAAATAAAATTAAACTGAAAATAATGCTTCTTTTATTTTTTAAACTGTGCTTAAAGGGCTTCTTGTGTGACACCTACACACGCATATCGTTTTAACTTGTCATTTTACTCCCCAAAAAAATAATCGGATTCTCAAGTGTCATTTTGCATATTTAAATTGAGAAAATTACTTATTACCGTTAGCAACGCTCTATTTATGAAGTTTATGCGGAAATTCATTAATATCTGGGGGCACGGCAGTGCCCCCGCCAAGTCGAGCAAAAAAAGCGGCACGGCCGTACTATACTTTTCTCGAAGCAATTCAGGCCATTTTCGACCCCCTATAACTTCGTAGCGGATTAAACTAAAAGTCTGATTTTCAGTAACCAAGTAGACATTGTATAAACATGGTATATTTCAAATTTCATTCAATTTGAACCAGTAGTTTAAGAGTTACAACTAGTCAAAGTTTATTAATTTTGTCACTCACTGACTGACCGATCATCAAAACTCTAAGGCACTTCTAGCAGACATAGAAGCTTCAAACTTGGAATGCAATTAGAGTTTAGTGTATAAATCAAGGAAAAACTAAAATATTTTTTAATTTTGGTCCAGTTTTCTAGATACACCAACTGCATAAATAACTTTGTAATATCATATAAATGTATAGAATTACAAAGTTACATTTGCAGTGAATGAATCAGTGTACTTGTATATTATGTTTAATAGGTGTAGATAGGTTCGTCGTTGGTATTCAATAAGTAGAGCTATCTTATCTACAAAAATAAGTGAGATGCCATCAAAAACATAATTTGTAAAGAAAACCAAGTCTCGCAACTCAGTTGTTCTACCATAAAAATTTGTGAGATCCATGTAATACCAAGTCGGTTAATTTATTCACTCCCTACTTAAGGGTCCTTCTGTTTTAAGTTATTACGTAATTAGCTAACCTAACAACATTTTATAGTGACCATAAAAATGTTAAAAATCTTTTATGTTTTAAATATATAGATTGAATTGGCGTGCATGATCCTCTACATCTGGAATCCGCGTAGGTGAAGTAACCAGTTGTGTCATATGCCCAGGCAAAAGCATAAACAGATCTCCCCGCATGGTCGGTTAAACGTGAACCAAGCCATTCGGCGTGGTGGGCGTTAAAATAGCCGAGGATCACGTCTGTAGCCGTTTTGACGTGGTCGTTGAGTCAATCTATTTCGGTATTGTCGCTATGGGATATATAGAAGCACCCATAGATGCGCGGATTGTCGTCGCTGTCTCTGTTTAGCCAAAAGATGGACAGGTCCGAACCTTTAAGACTGCCGAGGCGTCGAGAACAGATGTCCTCTCTGACGTATACGTAAACTCCACCCCGAGGCACAAACGAGTGTCAGTTTGTACCTCGGGTAGGAGAGATACGAAGTATAAGCCGGAGAGGATACCTGCGTCTCGGTCAGAAAGAGCAGAGCCGGTTTCGCCGTCTCGAGATGGTAGTGGATGGCGTTTAGGTTCGGGTGAAGTCAATAAATAGCGTGGCAGGGGTCGCCTTGGTTTTGTTGTCGCAGTTATTGTTTTGAGCAGAATTTCGACTCCCGCCCCCACTCCCGTAGAATACGCGGGACTCCCTGAGCACCCGCGCACAGGAGTGGAGTAGTTTGGTAGTGTATACTCAGCGAGGGATTCTCAAGGGTTCTGGTACCCTCCTGGGGTAGTCTTACAGTTAATTCCCCTGCTATGTTGATGGGGAAGGTGGGGGGGGATTGGGCCACTGGCCACCTGCACTCACCAGATTAAACGCAAAAACAGAGCTTCTTTACGCCGGTATTATTTGAGGTCGTGGTACCACCCCGGCTCGAGCCTACTACTGTTCGGCTCAACCGGGGAAGAACCACCCTCTCACAGAATTCCAGCGTAAAATAGCAGCTCGACGCTATTGTTTTTCGTATATTGAGTGTGGAGAACTTTTTAATGGAAACGAGGTTTTCCATCTTAGTACTCACTGGTGACAACTCGTCTGCATCTTGATTTATAATCGAGGATAGATGTAGATGTCTATGAACCACAGCATTCATTTACCATCAGGTGGACTGTGTGCTCGTTTTTCACCTTAATTCTATAAAAAAACATATAATCATGTATATGATTTTAAAAAAATTGTTACCGTACCTAAATATTAATTCATCAAAAATAAGTAATTAAAAAAATAATAAAATAAATAATATGTTTATTTGTACTATTACAAAATTCTTTCAATCATTACTTTTATCTATGTCGTTGATGAGGTTTACTTTCGGTAGGTGACGCCACTGATACTCACTAGGTGAAGCGGGGGGAAAAGGCGAAACTGCGGGAAGTAGATTCATTCTGGTGGGAGCTTTATAGTCAAAGGATTACTTACTAAATCTATCGATACTGTAATTTATTTAATTTTATTTCTATATTACCTTAGAGTCCTCGAGTATAAATAAAGATCATAAAGCACGTCCATTTAAGTGCCTAAAACTATGTTAAATTTCGTTCATCGATCAGTCATTCATTCCTTCGGCTATAGTGATTCTAAGATACTGCATAATTTATGATCAAGTTCTATTTTATATTAATAAAACAGAACTTCATTATTATTGATTTGTATTATTTTACCTCTCATTAGTAAGGATTCTACAACTTTCAAAATTAAATCTTTTAAAAAAATTTCGCCATGTGACGGCTAAAGAGAATCCATCACAGTATTTCTTCTGTTGTGCGACTTTTCGGCGACAGACGAAATTCCAGAAAGGTTACATAACTTCAGAAAGGTAAAGGATTAACCATCTAGTTTACGCTAGACGGTATGCACACCAGCGATTGAGAGCAGGGTCAAAGCTGCGAAACGTCTATCAAAACTGTGGCAAGATTATTCCTCCTTACGATTCGATAGGCTCATTTTCAACAGCGGGCTTTATAATCCTATATCGGACAAAAGCAAGTTTTTACAAAAGAATTTTTTGTAATAATCCTTTAAATCGTTATAAAATAATTACTGTGGAAAATTAAAAACGACTTTATTTACCCCAAACATGATGTACATACGTGTACCAAATTAAATAATAAACACAAAATTTGACGAATCAATCATGAACTTGAATTTAATGTTTTAACTGTAGTACCTCTAGCTAGAGGTATTATAACAATCTTAACCTATCATGCAATTCCACGAAGAAGGCACTATGATTTTATTAATCTATGATATTACACATACAGTTTGATTTTAAGCTATGTATACAAATACACTGTTATAAAAATATAAATTGAACTTATTATTTATATTAAAAACAATATCTAGCCTTGTTTTACTGCTTGACTGTAACTGTATGGTCGAATTGGACTGGCTTTACCCTGGCTGTCGTAGAAGTTAATAAGTTGTTTGACACTGCCGGGTCCAGGAGTTGTAATAGGTTTCGCCACAGGGGAGGGGTTGACAGGAACCGGTTTGATCTGGTTCGGCGCCGGAGTCGGCTGGACGGGTTTAGCTGCTGGCACTGCTTTAATGGTCGTTGGTGCAACTGGCTTTAAAGTTGGCTTTGGTTCTGGGACTACGTTGATTGGTTTGGGTACAGGTGTAGGTGTGGGAGCCGCTGGTGCTGGGACTTGATTCGCATTAGCGGGCCGCATGTTGCTACCGGCTCTCATACCTCCCGCCTCCATGTTGATAAATGCAAGATTTACATTTTTATCTATTGGTGCTAGTACTTTGCGGCCTGCAATAATGTATAAATTTTGTATAAGAATACTTACAATATATTATATTATACCTGGTAGAGCCATGCTGCAATTATATTAGTAGTATAGTTGTAGCACGAATGGGTCGGCTCGACCGGGGAAGGACCACGCTCTCACAGAATACCAGCGTGAAATAGTAGCATAACGCTGCTGTGTTTCGTATGGTGAGTGTAGAGAACCAGAGACCCTTTTTACTGGAAACGAGGCATTCCATCTTAGTCCTCACGGGTGACTACGCATCTGCATTTTGATTTGTAATCGAGGATAGATGTAGATGTCTATGGGCCGCAGCAACCACTTACCATCAGGTGGACTGTGTGCTAGTTTGTCACCATATCCTATAAAAAAATTATATGTTTAAAAACTACTTTGCCCTACAAAATATTCGAGCCTAAAACATGCAGGTTATTATTCTCTATCATGATAACCGAAAATTTGTAATGCTTGCACAATCAAACCCAATACATATCAATTTATATTGGATATGTGAAACAAACCATTAATTGTTACTGTATAGAACATTCTTGTAATCTTTCATTGTTTATACATACGGTAAAATAAAAGGTAAACGAAAGCACGGAAACTTCATACAAACGTCTCGCAACGACACGTGTATGAAGGTTCCGTACTTTCGTTTATTGTGAGGGTATCCGCTGCGTTAACCAGGGTTTCCGTGACGGTAGCGACGGTCGGATGGGACCGAGCCCGCTGCATGTATCCGTGACAGATTCACGGCACGAGATCTCGCCGCTAGTGCTACTTGATACTTGTACAGTCGTGCCGACATAGGTTTATCTATTAACTTAACCATTGACGAGCATCTCCGTATATAATTAATAAATGAAGTTTACCTCTTTTCCTTTCACTGCGAACATGAACATCGAAATGGAATACGTAATAATCGACCAGCAATTTGGAATATAATATAGTAAATGAATTCTATAAAGATACGCTCGTCAAGTATTAGTTTAAATCAAATGTACATAAACGACGCCTGCAATCCGCGCCACGCTTTTTTTTTGCGCCCGAAGCAAATTAGAGCAACCCTCCGGTAACGGGGGAGGGAGGTGGTGAATGCTCATAGCATACCACGCAGCCGGCTTTTACCTACTAAACACTACTTATATATATACTATCTTTAAGCCGTAAACGGACGTTACCCTCCTTGGCTGAAAGGAGGGCGCAACCGCGACACGCAGAAGCAAGCCCGAGAGCGGGAAACGCAAAGAGTAGCCGTAACGCGGACCAGTCGCACGTCCCGTGCGTGGCGCACGGCATAGCGGTGCTTTTGAATTTTCAAGAAAAATAACAATAGCAAATACTGCTAAATAAGAAACAGCAGCAAACTCGCGCGTATATGTCCCGCTTAACACAGCGGACGCCATGATACTTTAATCTGTATATTATGTAGAGGATATGTTATATATAACAACAGAATTTCTTAGTAATAGCTAAACCATCCATTTGAAATAATTATATTTGTGACTTTCTTAATTACTAATAATTAATAATAATAATAAACTCGCTTTAATGAACGAAATGAATATATTTATCGGGATACCGTAATAAAGAAAGTTAATAAATTTGACTCAGATTTACAGATAAATATGAAGAAGCATAAAAATGGTGTTTGTCTCGTACGCGTTTGTATTAGTTTTGGTTATCCTTTCGTAAACAAATCGAGTGTTACGGTCAAGAGTAACACCAAACAAACACTTATATAGTTTAGGATTTTGTTTCATGCGTTAGCGGTGCTTTCGTTCTATCATATTATTCCCTCTTATAAAAAACAGTCTAAGTATGTCACAGTACTAACAGTATAAACTAATACGGGGCTGGCTGTATTTTTATTCTATAATTATAAATAATATTAATTCAAACTTAGTTTAAGATTGTGATTGGGATTTACCTTGTTTATTTTACCTTTAATATTTTGATAAAAATATTCATCTTTTTTCTTATGTCAAAGAAAACAATGTTTGATATTTTGTGTGGGTATCCAACCAAGGATTAGAAATGTTATTATGTGATTCAAGTCAAATCAAGTCAAAATACATTTATTCAAAATTTACCTTTACAAGTCATCTTTTAAAAGGGTACAAACTACGCCATCGCATCAACAAGTTCCTACTACCTTGTCAGAAAAAGCGGCAAGAAACTTACAAGTGGACTATTTTTCCCCCATGTTACAAATTAACCTTATAAAATATAAACAAATTCAAAAAACGTAAGAAAAATTAAATTGATACTTTTTATTATAACGCTTTTAAGTGTAGGTTGAAAATTTAGAACCCAAAAATGAGCCGAAAGTTTTATGATAACTATTTTCAAACAGCAAGTTTAGATTTATTACATGTTTTACAGTTATGGACATCATCATTTTATAAAAGGAGTTAAAATAGTTTGTAACTTAAATAACATCATCTAGTAAGAACTGTGAAGCAACAGTTAAGATATTAATTTGTTCAAAATGATCTCTGAATGAGTTCCTTGGTATATAGAACAGATGGCTATTTTCAGTATAAATATATTCTCAACATCGACTACCGATCCCCATAATCATAATCTATATGAAATCACTCTACAAAAATAGTTTAAAACCAACGTTGCTGTATCCTTGCTGTAGTCTTATCCTTAACTGCATACACAGCGGAATTAACTCTTTTTGCCAAGATTTCAATTTAAGGTCTCTATTGTGGACGAGTCTTTTGTGATACGAATACGAAGGAAAGCTCTAGGATCTAGTCATTCAAGTATTTGATCGTTCAACCTGATGGAAATAGTACCTTACCTTACGTTTTCATTTTATCATTTTATTTGGTGTTAATCAGTGGGAAATTTGACATACAACATTTTTTACGTCGTCATATGAGTTTTTAACTCTGTCAGTTTTAAACGAAAGAGCAAAGCAAAGATTATTTATATAAAAAGTAATAACCCCAATATTGGCACACCCATAATTATGGGTGCTCCAGAAGACACTCCTTTTATAACTACTTTTTGTAACCGATCTTACATGTATTATTTTACTCCGTTTATTGAGACAATATAATGCCTAAACTTAACATTAACTGTAATGGCGATGAATCTATGAAACACGTTACTCGGGGATAATGAAATTAACAATTACCCCGACTTTTCCTAAACTACCATATCTCTTTAGTTTCGAGCATAAATTTAAATCAATGTTTTTATATAAGTTTAATCAAGGAGGAAATTTATTTTTATTTTTTGTACACCTTTCTATACCTGTCTTGGTCACTTGTTTGGCTCAGTCTACATACCTTCACATTAACTATCAATGAAGACACAAAAAATTGATTAGCCATAAATGCATGATTATTGTAATACCTCACCTACCTAAAGGTTGATCTTTCTCGTAATGGAGACCCATGTCAAGCAGTGGACATTAACGGGATAAAGAATAAGCTGAAAAGCTTATTCCTCCCGTGTCAACGATCCCACGAGATATATAGTGGATTTTCTTACGCTATCACTACGCAGCGGCAGTCAAACTCCAGCAAATTCAAGTGACATGCTTTAAAATCCAACCCAGTTGCAACAGCTGTATCAAGCTTATCTTTATTATACTTCTCGAATTTCAATTTTGCAAAGACAAATTTTGCCCTTTTTATCTGAAGCACTCCCATGCGATTGTTGCTGCCGGAGCAGCAACGAAGTATTTTAATTATTTTTTAAAAATATTGGTAAATCACAAACTAAACGCGAAATGGAACGTGCATTTAACTAAATTCTAACGTTTTGACGTTTTACCTGTCAAAGTCATCTCAAAATGCGTAAAATGAATCGCTAGGCCGGCGACTTTGTTGACAGTGACAGATATACACTCAGAACCGGTCGAGCCCGGGAAACCCGGTCCACATACGGGCTTTCCTCGACTGCGCCACCTTGAGTGGCGTGGGGCATCCCTCTCCCAACTCTGTCACCCCATAAATCAGGTTTATATTGTCAAAACATTACGAAAACATAACCTCAAAATGAGGTTATTAAAAATTTATAAAAAAAAACTAAGCACGTCCAGCAGGAGGGAAAGTAGGGGGCGACTCTACAACTCCCTCCTCCTTCCTCCCCACCACCCACCAACTACCAATTCAAGCGACTTCTTTCAAACTTTACCCGCACATCTTCTACATATATACAGATCAAAGCTCTGATATTTCCAAAACTACATAGTTAAAATCTTATTATGTATTTACAAAAAAAAAGAATTTCAACTTAGACCACTAGTTACAAAGTAAGCCGTAGGTATTTAATTTTATTATTTCTCATCAATTGACATGTTATAATACAAGCACTACTCTTACCTACATAAAATTGAGGTTTAAGGTTATGATACCAAATTTTCCCAATTTAATATCACCAGTTGCCAAAAACAGTGGCGTAGCATGGGTCGCCAGAACCAGAAAACCCCACCGTGTGTGCAGATCATTTCTATTTTAAAAACTTGCAATGGTATACAGTGTACTTCTTTTTATTTACCAAAAGTATTCACAAAGAACTATCTTTTAGTTTATTTTTAATTTTTACTGGCATCATTTAAAAGTTAAGTCGAGAGTTAATTTTTTTTCCCAAAGTAGCACTCGGAGCCGTGGCCCTGTCGGTTCCTCCTTGCAACGCTCTTGACTAAATACATGATATTTAAAATATAATTAAAACACTACTTACATTCAACGTAGCAAAAAATGAATAACAAAGCAAGAGCGAAGGCCTTCATTATGCAGGCGTAAGTACTCGTACACACGTACACTTTTAATTACCGTTCAGTACAAACTAAACTCTAAAGTCTAAACATTAGCAACCGCCTAGCAAATGTTTTCGGCAAACTTGTAGCTCGATTTTGTTCGATGTGAGGGCCACATCATTGCTCTTAGCTCTGCATGCGACCTTTGCTAATTGACCTCGCTTGATAACTTGTCTTACGGACTTCGAAGAGTGACCTGAGATTAAAACCCGATGTATTATAATAAACATCAATTTACTAGGAAACCGTCTTCGAGATATTAAATTCTGTTATTGGCATTTGAATAACAATTTTAGGTAAATGCAATTTTCCGTTATATATCTATTATAATGGGTATGTAATTTAATGTAAAAAAATCCCGTGTCATCTGAGAAAGTTGTGGCTGGAATGAAGATGTTTATAATAATTACTTAAAAGACTCATTGTGTTATTTAAATGTTCTAAATAACTATTCTGAAATATTGCAAACAAAATAAAAAACATAGATAGATAAATAAACCATATTTAATAAAATAAAAGGTACAAATTGAAAAAATATCTGAATTACGTATTTTTTAACCTTTATCATCAAAAAGATAGTTTACAATAAAATAGTCATAAACATAGAGAAATAGGTGAAGAATGAGCCAAAATTATATAGACGGAAATACTTATTTCACTAGCGCGGGCCAATGCTAAAAACAATTGATTAGTGTGGGGGCTGATAACAAGGAATACTAATTATGTAAGTATAGCTTTCATATCGCACTTACCCGATATTATTAATTTATTGGATTACTTTGGAAAACTGGTCCCACGAAGTAAGTAAGTAGGTAGTTTTAATATATTTGTTAAAAATATGTACAATAATAATAAGTCAATGATTTATACATTTGTAAAAATGGTATTTTTAAGAACTTTTAACTAATACGGTACACATACACTACAGATTATTTTCTACTGAAACTAGTTACATATGTTAAACTCTAAAATTGAACTTATCCCAATTGAAAAAAAAAATTGGAAAATCCAAGTGCACATAGCAAACGCTCTTGTAATGTTTTGAATAATCAATTTACTTTTATTAATTACAAAAACACATATTTCGTTTAAAACTACAAAGAAATTGTTTCCGATTGCTTGAAACCGGTGATCCATATTTTGATACCGAAAAAAATTGTCAAATATTAGTGAACGGAACAATTTACAATTGTGAAATTCAAAAGGCTTCCTATGGATTAAAATCTAAAGCTCACGAAATCTAAAGTTCACATCCATACCGACAAACCGACGTCCAAGTGAAATTATTTTCAATTACCTTTTTTTTTAATAAATAGTCTCATAAATTTTTATGTGGTAGATCCATGCTGCAGTTATATTAGATATATAGTTGTAGCACGAATGGGTCGGCTCGACCGGGGAAGGACCACGCTCTCACAGAATACCAGCATCAAATAGTAGCGTAATGCTGCTGTGTTTCGTATGGTGAGTGTAGAGAACCGGCGACCCATTTTACTGGAAACGAGGCATTCCATCTTAGTCCTCACGGGTGACAACACATCTGCATTTTGATTCGTAATCGAGGATAGATGTAGATGTCTATGGGCCACAGCAACCACTTACCATCAGGTGGACTGTGTGCTCGATTGTCACCCTATCCTATAAAAAAAAAAAAAAACTATGTCAGAAGTATTAATTATAATCTTCTGCTATTGGTGTACTTTTTTATTATATGTATAAGTGTAAATTCATAAAGCTGATTGAAGTGCTTTAATTTGATTGGATCGCGATTTTTTGATTAGGTGACGATAGAGCACTGCATCTACGCATCGCATTCGATATGTGCAATATACAATTGTTCCTTGTAAAATAATAATATGAAGACATTTAATATTTGCGTAGGTAAATAAAAGAAGTCATTACGAAAATGCAACATAGAACTCGAAGAATATGACTGTGACTGGAGAAAATTAATGATATTTGTTGTAAATCGATCGGTAATTTTAAGAATTAATCTTTGAAAATTATGAATGTCCGTCATGAAATGCATGAAAGTTATGAACTTCCGTCCTATCAGCAAGTCGAAAGACGGCTATTTGTTAAATATTATGCACCTTTCATTAGTAGTATGGTAGCAGTGTTTTTATGATATTAGAGTAACAAACGAGCTAACAGTGCAACAGTTGATATGTTACTGCAACTTATGAACACCTGCTACAACTTAAAACGATGCGGATCACAGGACAGATGCGTTGTCGCCATTGAGGACTGAAACGGACTATCTGTCTCACGCAATGATCTTATAGGTAAACCTCTTTTACCTATAAGATCATTGATCTCACGTATTTAAATTTTAGCGGTTCTCGTACCATTTAAACCATGAACACCGGTGGGTACACTGTTGCTTATTGATATAAATAGGTAATAGGGTAAACCTATTTTGTTCTGTTGGCTGACCAAGATTAAAAATAAATAACGAATTTGAAATATGTATAACAGTGATTGCACGAGGCCATATCTAAGAATATCATTTCTTTCACATTACTGAATTAGTACTGTCAGTAGGCTCGATGCATTAAACATAAAGTAAAATACGATTTTCCCGCTGTGCATCTGCACGCAAGTTTTGCATTACATGTGCGCGTTCGCCTGCGACCGTGCGCTTCTGATGATGTCTCCTTTCAAATAACTTTCTTTTTGACCTTGTAAACATATTTTTGTGGACGACTATGTGATAAGAGTAACTGCGTATTGATTGAGGGATCTATGTTTAAATACGCCTAAGGCCTTACGCAGACATTTTAAAAAAGTCTATAACTTTTAGAAGAATGAAGGTTTGCTACATGCGCCCCACTTGTGATCAGATGCTCCATGTGGGATGTGTCCTGCTAGGGCTTACGATGGTCTTTTGATGGAAATAGAGATCTTATAAAAATTATATTCAGAACTTATTTTTATAGCTTTGGAAATAGTGTGTCTGTATTGTACTACATGAGTTCGACAGTAAGGATAACGAGAGTTCCACATTAACCCAGCCCCGGCACAGATTAATAAATAGTTTACCAAGCCCCGGTAGATGGCAAGGAATCACGGGGTTATTTGCAATGATAAGATATTATTCAAGCTCAAAGACCAATTGTACAAGAGTATTATTGAATGCTTACACTTTTATGGAAGTAAGTCTGGTCGACCTAGACCCGACATGTTCAATAGAACCGAGAAATGTTCACGTCACCGAAAAGAATATGTTGTTAGATATTACAAGGCGAGACTGTATACGTAAGAAGCGCATTAAGGATATTCTCATTGGGGAAAACTTTAGGATTGGTTTAGGTGGAAAGGACACGTCTTACGTAAGGGAATAGAATAAGTTTAAAGGTAATGTATCTTAATACTGATATGCCAGATACCATATCACGCAGCATATCCCAAAAGCGCTTGCTGGACTTTGAGGCCCTGAGTAAATGGACTAACCGTCCTCGGACCCTGCCAATATCAGAGTTTGCTTTAAAAAAAACCAGACAAATGCATGTCTGACTCGCGCATCGTGGTTCCGTACAAACTCGTATGTAGATAGTCCGAGTATGTTTTAAGTTTCTCCCCGAAATGTATAAAAACAAGATTGTCTTAAGGTGAGAACGAATTGGCATTTACGGGATCAGTGTGCTCCGTCTTCGGTGTTATTGTACAGCTACTTTCACAAAAATAATTAATATTACCTACTGAATTTCATAAACTATGAAAGCACCAAACATTATTCCAACGTAAAAATGAGTAGGATTAAAGGACAAACTTTGTATTTGAAAAATGTTCTCGAGGTTAATTCTCCAACTGCAAATATATGTTTGTAATCACAAAAAACTATTTTTTTTGTAATGAAACTACAAATTAACGGTTTTCGGATGTTTGCCTTCACCTGTACTGTGAGACCTTGCTTCTTACTAAATTCCATAATTCTAGATCAACGGTGGAAGTACCCTATAGGTTTTTATGTATTTGCGTCTATCAAAATATGTCGCAAAAAGGGCCGTATTTTATTATTGTGTTGACTTAGAAGCTTTATTTTTCCAAGAGCCCGTACACCAACGTACCTATTTGATATTAATTTCAACTTGATAGCTCCACGCCTTACCGACGAATAACGAAGTGATCCTATATGTGAGTCTTTTTGATGTACGGAACCCTAAAATAAAACAGAAGCCTCAAAACTATTTTATACATAATATAAGCCTCAAAACTATTTTATATTATGTAATTGATACAAAACGTATAATACATAACTTTTGAAAATATTTTGAGATGAATCAATAAATCTCTTCGACAAACGTAAACAATGCAAGCAATACAGTGTTAATTTAATTGTGATCTGTCACCATATGGCGACCATATGAAACATGTACATGTCTTATGTCTCTTTACGAGACCAATTGACCAAGGTCAATTTTGTTTATCACGGAACGACCGTGCATTAACTATTCTGAACATCATTGCCGCTAAAACTGGAAATCCGCGAGTTGAATCTCAACAACATGCTATACAGAAATATTATAGGCGCTTGGAAATGACGTCACTCTGAGGTCGTACTCTATCGCAATCGGGCGCGGGCTCAGAGATCACTAGTGCGCCGTAATCACGCTGGAACTAACGTACTATTCGAAAATGAGACTCACGTTAATTTTCCTGCTATGTTTGACAGCGTGCCGAGCTGATGACCTAGCCCATGCGGCTGGACAGATCTTCTCGAGCATTCTTCCAAACATCCTAACCAATTCAGTGACGGGCCAGCAAGGAAACACTGCCGGGAACACTATCCAGCAAATCGGCACAGTGGTAGGAGGGGTTGTGGGCTATGCCCAGAAGAAAAGTTACGAGGATATGCTACGTCAAGTGCAAGATTCGACCACCGATGAGGACATATTGAAATTAAGCGAGGAAATGTTCAATGCGGATATTAACAACGCTTTCAATTACATTCAAGTCAACTTGCAAGGCAA